CCTAACTGCCTTTCTGCCAGCCTCACGCTCCCTGTGGATTCGCTGGCGGGACCACGCGAGATCTCGAAGCCAATCAAGGTTGAGCCTACTTTGATTGGATGGCGGGCACTGCCTGAGACAGAGGAGCGCAGGGAGCACACACACACACGCCTGGGCCCAATAACCTCATCAGCGGACACAGGCAAAGCAACTTGCCCGGTGAGACAGCTTTCGGCAACCGCTTGCAAAGCCTCCCGTAGGCTCTTACACGTCAGTAAGATTGTCCAGCCCAATCCATCTTCCCCGACTTCTGATTGGGGAATCATTGTGTTGTTGGCCATACCATCTCGACAAATCTACAACTTCAGGCGAAAGTACAGCGCTTGTTCTGATGATGGATGTCATAGTCCCTTCTTCCTGATACATTCCTTCCGGTAATAATCGCCGTTGTCATCGTCGTCGTCGTCGTCGTCGTCGTCGTCGTCGTCGTCGTCGTCGTCGTCGTCGTCGTCATTATTATTATTATTGTCGGAGGCGGCTTCGGCAGCTGCATCAATGGCGACGACAGCAGCAACAACAACAGCAAAATCCCTACAGTCGTGGTCGTCGCCACCGCCGTGGCCACACAGATCATTCTCAGTAGTCCCATCCTCACTTCCATCGTTAATCCATACTTTCCCCTTATACCTCAACACTGTCTCCTACTCTCATTCCTTCTCTTTATTACTTTCATTGTTATTTATGTCGCCCACTCCTCTTATTCTTCCCATACCCTTATGGCTAGTGGTTGGAGCTGTTTTTTCTTAATCTACTTCTTCTTTTAGAAGTGACTACGCGGCTGCGTGATATGGCCGATCAGCTCTGTAAAAAGCAAGTCGAATGTATCTTTTTTCTCTGGACAGGGAATAAACACTCATCAAACCACCCTGAGCGAACCCAGGTCAACGTTGAGAAGGCCAGTCGAAAAAAAACATAGCTGGAAAATAATTTTTTTCTGCGGAGACTGGATTGGTGATTGTCTTGTGACTCTAACATAGACGTCCTTTCCCCCGAAGGTCTCATTCCAAGTTCTATCCGCTGACTTAGTTGTATGGGTCGCTGAGCTGGGCCTATTCTGTGTAGTGGTGTCCAAAAGTAAGCATTTCAATGAGGGCTTATGTGCAGATAGGCTGCTTGCTGACGGCCTGCAGTCCACTCTGTCGTCTGCTGAATAAAACTGGCGTGATTCCTGGCGTGATATTCCAAAGTAGCGATAGGTTGTCTGAAAGGGCCAATGGGAATCGTGATTACATCACGATAACGCATTCTTAGAGGGTGACGTTTAAAACATTTTAGCTCCTCTACCAATGAAAACACGCGCCGGCGAATGTGTGCGTCTGCGAGATCTACGCAAGCATGCCAGGTAAAGTTTTGTCTCTAGTCTTAATTGAGGCCCAAGAAAAGTCGGAAACAAGCGAACCGGCCAACCGCCGAGAAGTCGAGTTACGATCTTTTTTAACTGGCTTACTAGGTCAGATTAACAGTCGACTTTTATTCTCAATCAGAGTGTGGCATATTCTCCCGTTAATCTTCAACATACTTAGCGCACTTTGTGAAGTCATTTTATTGCCGTCAGCAGTCGACCTCAATTCCCGACCAAAATGTGGCACATTGTACTGAGCCGTTTGCGTATTTTACGCCGTCAGTATAGATTCCATATGTGCTATTCGACACTGCAATGTCTTCATTAATGATCCCCTAAATGCCCGACAATAGGCGTCAATTTTTCCACGCAGAAGAAAAACAAATAATCATCTATATCGGCGCGTTGAGACGCGCTGCAAAGAACCGGAAACAATGTTGCCGAATTTCAACATTTTCGGCGGTTGTTCAGAGAAAATGGCTGCCTGCTCAACTCCGTTACCCACTGTAAGCGCATACGAGACGTGCGACAAAATCGCACCGATCCCAAATTTTACCGAGCAATTCCGTCCATCAAGAAGGCCTTGGAGGTCGTCAGTCATCTTTTCGCATCAGTTGGATTTCGAGTCGCGCACAGACCGGATGCAACTGTTAGGCATCAGCTGATGAGACCAAAAGATCAAAAGATCCGCTACCAAAGCAAGAAACATCTGGCGTCGTTTATCGGATTTGGTGCAGATACTAGTAAAGGAAGTTCTCTGGAGAAACCGGAAGACTACTCTGTAGGCGGGTGGCCGAACAAGCGGCAGCAGTGGGTAGGAATGACACCAGCTTCCAAGCAGCAGCTCACTCGACGAGACTCGGTCACACGTTAAGGTTCAGTGAGGCCGAAATTCTCGCGAGAGGGGATAATCGCGTGGACCACGAGTTGCTTGAGTCATGGTTCACGGTCAACTAACAAGTGCGATGGCACTCCCACCCCATATTTGATTGCTGGGACTTAGTTTGGCCAAAGCATTTAGGCACTAGTGGAGCGCGCAGACAGATAAGTCAGGAGACCGAGCGATCATCACGACAGAATCCAACACGGGTGATGAGACTTCAGCAATTCACAACTCACATGCCTGCCATCAAGCAGTTAGCGCGCCAGAGGGCAATCATCCTCGATGAAGGGGAGAGCGGTTAATTACAGTAGGTGGGCTAACTCGTGAAATGTAAACCGAAATTTCGAAATGCGTTCCCGTTTCGAAAGGATTAATTATGTAGGGTTGTAAAACTAATGATCATGCAGCATAATTCTATAATAATTCAGTTACCGCAGGATGCCGGCTTTCGAATAAACTTCTTTCCTACTGCATGCAAGAAGTATACTGTGCAAAAAGGACTACTTAAGTAGCATTCAATTTTGCCATTGATTTTCGATGCCATTCAAAATTCAATTATATTTCATGGAAAACATGCATAAAAATATTCATTCTTTTTGTTTATTTGGTAGTAATTGGCGTCTTTTTCAAATTTTTTACTCAAGGTAAGGGTACAATTCGGTTTTAAAAAGGTTTCGAATTGTGCGATGTTTTAATACCGTGAAAGGGCCATTCATAAAACATCACGTCTCTGCATTTACTAATGTGGCTAGTAAAGTTAACAATATGGCTCAAATCCACTGCTAAATTTTATGAACCACACATGGTCTTCTCTTAATACCGTAGAGAAATGTATGGCTTTCCCTACGCAGAAAAAATATGGCGTGTAGTTTGGAGGCCCTGAATGCAAGTGTAACGATAGGTGGGGTTCAAAATCATTCGGGAATTGGAAAAGTTTTTGCAAACCGAATCATACCCGTTTTTCGAGTATAAAACTGGAAGAAGATGTAATTTACTACGGAAAGAATGAGAGAATGAACATTTTTATGCATGTTTTCCATGAAATATAATTGAATTTTTAAGGGAATCGAAAATCAATGAGAAAATGGTGTGCTACTTAAGTAGTCATTTTTGTAGAGTATAGTTCTTGCACGTAGTCGGAAAGAAGTTTATTCGAAAGCCTACACCCGGCGGTAACTGCATTATTATAGAATTATGCTGCATGATTATTAGTTTTACAACCCTACATAATTGATCCTTTCGAAACGGGAACGCATTTCGAAATTTCGGCTGACAATTCACGAGTTAGATCACCTACTGTACCATAGGTATTGTAGCAGCTAAGCGGTGAGAGTGTGAGTGCTCTGGGCGTTAAAATCATCAGGTCGAATCCCAAGTCGTAAGGAGAAGACAGAAGGAACCTGAGTGAGGGCTTTATTGTGCACAGAACCCGGAGTCGTCCTCTCAGGCGGCAGTGGCCACTGGCGAAGCCAGGGCTGGTGTTGACTGCGTCCAGTGAGGCCTGAGAGTCCCTGAGATAGTGGTGGCAGTCGCTTTTGTAGGCTCGTGGGCCAAGCCCAAGTGGTCTCCCATCGGTGCGTGTTGCATTTGCCGAGGATAGGTGTCGCAGTGTTTTAGGTCATGCTTGAGGGGGGGGGGGGCATTCAAGAGGCGTATGGGCAGCTGCGAAGCTGTGTGGATGCAATTGTGTCCGAAATGAATTCGGTCGGATGGCATCAGGTCAACGCGTCTGGAACGGCTCGCTGCAGGGAATGAATGACTTTGAGGCAGAGAGGTCTTGAACAATGACGCCAGACTGGCCATGATGGCTGGTCGCTACAGTATGTGGTAGCATAACGACTGCATCCTATAAATACTCCATCTTCCTGTGTAGGAATTACGCGCATCTGATACTGTCTCTGCTGTTGTATTCGAGCGCGAGTCCGAAAAGTCAGACGAGGAATGCTGCTGTCCCAGCGACCGCATCCACTGCTTATCAAATAACCGTCGCTACATTTCAGCCGGACATCATGTAATCGTCTGATTTTTCTTCGGCTCGACAGGCCGACCTTATCTTAAGTGCCAATCGATACTCTGGAACGAATTAGGGTGTGTAACGAGCCAAATAATCTTGTGATAGACGAACCTACTTGTTTAAGGCCTTAATTGTCTCCCTACATAATGCCTCAGCGCACATATTTTGGCCTCGAACGCCTACTGTGTGCCCCCTACAACCGGCCACGCAGTGGATGCGCGAGACCAAAACGGGGACCAGATTAGGACACGACACGCGTCACCTGGGCTGCGCAACCATGAAAAATGGCGGGTGTGACGGCACGCCTAGACACAGGCTCACGCCGGGCCAGCCACGTGTGCCCACATCAGATGACTGACCGGTTCAGACAGCGCTCTGTTACTAAGGTGAGGGCGTAGAGAAGGATGTCGACGCTGGAGGCTCCGACCCCACACCCCCCCCCCCCCCAGCGCATATTCCTTACTATAAACAATCTGGCATGCTCTTAAACTGTCACGATGCGATAAAGACGGGGACTTGGATGACTGCTAACTGATGGGCGGAGATTCAGGCTGGAATGTCTACGGTTTTGCCACTTTGTGAATTTCCGAATCATGATAATTTGCAGTTTCAAGTCAAAGCGCTTGCTTCAATGATAGGAGTCTTATTCTCTTGTTTATCACAATCTTTTTCCCTTTCCTTTCTCCTCTCCCTCCCCACATATTTTTCTTATTTTCTTCTACCTAATTCGGCGTGGTCCCCGCACCACCACCACCACCACCACCACCACCACCACCACCACCACCACCACCACCACCACCACCACCACCACCACCACCACCACCACCACCACCGTCATTATCATCGGTGGCAGTAAGGGTAGCTTATGACGTCAGGCGTTTGTTAGAATAATTCCCTAGACGGGCTTCGATTTGTCTAAAATCTAGGTGCAGGGAGACGCCATTATTCCCTGTCACACCAATATAAGTAGCGAGAACGTGATGCATATACCGTGCTCCCACATGCACTGTCAGTTCATAAACCCTTACCCCCAAGGCTAACTGTCCATCAGGAAACAAAGGGTCGTTACTGACCGATTTTCGTGTTATCAGGATCATCGTCGATAGTAGCGGCAGTGGTGGTGGTGGCGGTGATGGTGGCAGTGACCGCAGTAGCAACAACAAAGTTATTGGCATCACCGTCTTTGCTATCGCAGTAATAGTCGTTATTTGAACCATCCTCATTGCCATAGTTGATCGTTCCTTTCTCACTCCTTCTCTTAAATTATACTCTTGTGTGCTTTTTCCATCATTACTTCTTAGCGGTATCGATATCACACTCACACTCCTTGTTCTCCTCCTCTCCCTAGAAAGTAGGAGCAACTTTTATTTTCATCGCCCCGCTCTTTTTGGACTTACGAAGGCACGGATAAACAGCATCCTCGCTGCGCCGTACAAAAGAAAACAGACCGAACAGGTTGCTTTGCCTCGGACAGGGAGAAGGCACGCATGAAACTGCCCTGAGTGAGTCGAATGTGATGTTGAGAAGGCCAACCAAAGAAAATAAGCATGTGGCTGGAAATAGATACCTTCTGCGGAAACTGGGGGACCACCCCTTTGTAGTTCTAACAGTGAAGTCCTTTTCCCTCGAAGGCCTCGCTGCATAACCCTTCTGCCGATTCATGCTTGCGTGCCTTGGAGGTATGAGTAGTCAATCTGAGACCTATCTTGAATAGTTGTGTCCAAGACTACGCATTTAAGCGAGGGCTTTTGTGCGGGTAATATGTCCACTGACAGTCTCGCAGTCCGCGCTTTTGACTGCAGAAAAAATGGCACCATACTTGACGTGGCATTCCGACCTGACGATTGGCTGTCTACAAGAGCCAATGGGACTCGTGATTACATCACAATAACGCAATTCAGGAGTGTGACATGTAAACGCCTTTTCGGCGCACCTGCCACTGAGAACCAGCGCGCCAACGCATGCGGCGTGAATGCGATTTACCGGCTACGATATTCTCTGTGAGTCAGAGAAGCACGAAACGTGTCCTAAATATTTTAAGGTTAGACGAAAAATGACCTTGTACGTAGGACTGCAATAAAGGGTTGTCTTTAGACTCTCCTAAAGCCTACGCAAAATAGGAATTCGCCAAACAATCCTAAAAAGCCTAAGACTTTAAGTAGTAACCGTCAGGATGTCCGGGGTATAGTCGCCTTGAACTGCCGCGCTGCATCAGCTGAGCAGTCGTCTTTAATTGTTTACCAATATTTGGCATTTTTCGCTGACCCCTTTCATGGGTTTTTGCAAATCCTAGTCCCAAAAGTGGCCTCACACAGTAGAGATTCGTTGGAGCAACACCAGCGAAACATAAGCAACGTACCACTTACAAAAATGAACACGAGGTCAGAGCTATTATTATTATTCCTATTTCGCTTTTCTTCCCCTTTTCATTTCCATTATTGGAAAATCCGTATTGCGAAAATCGCTTGGGAAGAGATGTTAAAATGACTCCCACATGCATGTTCGGAATGTGTATTCATAAAGCTAAGATAAAAACCAGTCCGCATTTAGGATGCAACGGTACTGAAACAACAGAAGGTTGACATAAAAGTACGTTTGGCATGATTTAATATTACGGACTGTCACATGCTTCTTGGTCGTAGTGCATTTTATTTCACATTTCTGATTAGAAAACAATGATAAATAAGTGACTCACACAAATCAGATGATTCAAACGAACTTAGGCAACTGTAACGGATCACAGAAATCGTAGATGAACTACAAAGAAAAGTGAAAGACAACTACGTAGTTAAAGAAAAGGCTTACTATGGCTAGCCTAAGGACAGTTGAAACTAAGGAATGGAACTTAAAAATGGGGATCTGGTTGAACGGTGAGAATTTCACTTGCGTCAGTGGTGAACGAGAAAATACTGACAACCGACACGAGCGTCCGCGTTCGTTCCATAACTGACTCGCAGCCGTCTTTATGGGGCCTCGTAAGTCAAAAGGTCGCCATTCAGTATTGTGCTTGCATGAGGGGAGTATCGAAAAGAAATTGAAAGGATTTCAATTACCAATATTTCTATTAATTTATGCTTATAGTGCATTATTAGGCATATTGCGTTCAATATAAGACAGAAACATTGTGAACAAGTCACTACATACGAGCACATTAACTACTTGAGCACGATTGACTTTTACGGAAAGCGACTAAATCCAATAAATAGTAATACTTTCAATAGGAAAAAAATCGCGCTCGCCCCCATGACAGACGCGGATTAGTTGGAAAAATTACTTTAGTAAACCCACTGTCATGATCATAGGTGTCTTCACTACACAGGAATTAACTGAAGCTCCGCTCAAACGTCTTCCCCAGTCATATCTCGACTAGTAATCTCTGAATAGAATTCAGAGGACACTCACAAAATTGTCAATGTTTTCCAAAAAACTTCAAACTGCATCGAAGGAGTCATCTCCATGCTCCGGCCCCGCCAAAATGACCATGTAGTACATATAAGAGATTATACACTTCATCATGAACGATGTAACATTTTGCGGAATGGACTCAATCTGATGAGGGTGGGTTGTCTGACCCTGAATGAAGTCTAGTGCTTAAGAGCAACGTCAATTAAAATTGGGATTTGTTAAAGAATATCCTTCTGCAGCTCATTAACAAAACTGTCCACTGACACGTGCAAAGCAGAGGAAGAAGGAAAAGCACAAACCGCGGAGAAATACTGCGTAAATAAACGAATCAAGCATTTAAACCACTGCATGGCACAAAAGAATAGACAGAGAAGAATGGACGCAAAAATATGTCAGAAATTCGAGAAGGCTTTCCTTTAGAAGTGGCACACAGTCAGAAACTCCTTTATAGTTATCTCAGAAGAAGTATGAGTACAACATACCCAAACCTCTTACCAAAGATTGCCATGAACATGTAAATTGACGGGAGCAGATATGCAACTGAGTGTGCTGTTTTTATGATCGCTATACACAAACAAAGCAAAGTCCATTCATTAATCCACAGGGACCTGCTAAATACGGGCCTATGTCCGCCTGTCAGTTGTAAACATCGTTTTGGTGAACATGCGACAGACCAGAATGTCGAGAGGTTCGTCGTTTTATCTACCTGGACTAGCCGAAGGAAAAAAATATTTGGCAGATCAGAAGCGGAGGAGTTTTACATTGGCTGCAGAATGAGATAAAAATAACAGGCGAATACATGGCACTCTGTTTTACAATAGTTAATAGAATTTTGCTTATGTATCAGAACTGCCTTCTCTCCGACGTCAACGGACGAGTCCCCGTCACATGTCGATAGGAAAAAAGACATTTCTGCAATTCGTGTTGGGACTGCGGCGTCTAATACGTGGGCCGACATAGTGCGACATTGCCGGCAGTCGGCGACGGAATGGCCAATAGTAATTAGCAACAAAAACGCTAATCAGATTTCGCTTGTCTTCCACGGTGAAAACGAGAGACCTGCGACGAGGTATAAGCAAGTTGTTGTAAGCAATTGAAATTACCCCGCCAGGCCGAGGATAGTAGCTAAGGAGTCTGCAAACAGCCCATACAAAAGCACTTCAGCCCATCTTCATCGAAAGTAAAAGTGACATTTATTTATATGACATGTAAGTTTAGACCGTTAGCTCAGACTCAGACCTTGCTTTGAAACAGGTAAATGCGTTTGTTCGCCATAATTATATGGCTAACATTGCAGGAATATGACAGGTCGTAGTGGGAAATCACAAAATTCAAAACCATTTATCTACCGACCGCTTCATTATAGTAATCTGATTTTGAAAATTTTTATAACGCACTAGCCGAACCCCGCCACGCGTTGCAGTGGCTCAATCTGATGAATTGGGAAATAAGGGAAGGAGGAAGGAGCACATTCCCAATTAAGAAAAATGTAAGGGCCACCGGTTGGATGTACGTATTGTGTGCGAAACCCAGGATTGTCCTTGTAGCCGCTGTCGAAGGCAGGGCAATTGTTTGCTGCACACAGTCGCGCTCGAGAATTCCGGAGTAAGTGGTGACGGCTGGCATTTAGTTCGCTCACCGGTGTCGAGCGAGGCAGTGCTGGCCTGAAGTCTCCTGCAAGCAGTAGCAGTGCATCAGAAATGGACTGCTGTTTCGTCGCAAATTCTGCAGTGTTCGATCAGGGGCTTCGAACGCTTTTTTAACGCCATTGTGCATTCATCCCAAACAATAGGTTTGCATTTCTCAGTACTTTTCCCATGCCGGATGCTTTGGATATGTTACACGCGGGAGTTTCAATGAATTGCGCATTCAAAGGCAATTTCGAAGCTGAATGAACGGGTTTGCTGCCAGGTAGCAGAGTGGCAGCTATCCCGGGGATGCAAGTGCTAGGGCTATGTCATTTATTGGATCGAATTGCCGTCAGAATCGGTCGTAGTAGGAACGTTTTGCCAGTCCCTCCTGGCGCATCTAGGAAGAAGATTCCTCCAACCCCGTTATTGACATTCCGCAGTATTTGATCGTAAATGTCATTCTGCTCCAGTCTTTGCTTGTGAATGTTTGATTGCAAGCATGGCAGAAGTTGAACCGTGTTCATTTTGCTCATGGCGCCAATCCACATCAAACGAAGGAGAAGCAGATTGGTTTTGCGGTGACATTCCCAGTTGATTAAGAACTTTGTTCGCGATTTCTGCGTACATATCCTCAGTCAATATTAACGCCTCGCTGTAGATTCCTGCTGTGCAAGCCACATTTAAATTTTCCTTGCATAGTTGACGGAAGGTATCTTCAGCCATGTGCAAATTCTATTTCTCCGGTAAATCTGTTGGAGATGAGGAGAGAATGCGGTCAATATGACTGCAAACAATGCATGAATTTGATGTGGATGGGACATGTTGCAGGCGTCATTAATACATACGTCCTACTGTTGATCGTTCTCCAGTAACTGAAGAGCCTGACACGCACTGCTGAAAGTGGCATGCGTAGCGCCGTTGACAGATTTCAATTGCTGGAAAGACGTTGGACGTGGCACAGTCATCAACACCATGCACGGTATACAGTCCGCCTATCGCAGTCCCTTTGAGTATGCCGGGGTGTTCGTCCACTCGCTCTCCTTGTTTGCGTTGTTCGGATGATTTTCTACACGCATTCCCTGTGTAATACGTAGGCACTTTCGAATGCGGCAGTGTTTTTGCAAGCGCGTCACTTTGGCTTAACGTGGAGAACGCAGTTAATGTTGTTGCCAGTGGACCTAAGGCAACCTGTTGCGCGTTTGCGTAGGTAAAGTAAACGCATTGCCCATTCTCTAACTGTACTGCAAGCGAACAACACCTGGACTTCGCTCATGGCTGAGGAATGAAAGAATTCGCCACATGGATTTCTTGCCGTTGACGCATCTTCCAGCCCAAATACTGAACGATTTCATTGTGTTGTATGTCCGCATCCCATTATCTTCTTTCGTGTTGCAGGCCGAAAACGGCCATGTTGCTGCCTTTATTCGCGTACTTACAAATGTACCTAATTCATTTCTCAAAATTGCAGTGTTCCACGTTTATGTGAGCTGCGTTTGCTTCTGGAAGCAAAGGC